TATACATACATGTATACATATACATATATACAGTTTGCAGACTTTCTCTCGAACACTATTTCCAACTTTGTTCGAGTTTGAATTCTTGGTGATTTTAACATCCATGTTTGCTGTCCTGCTAAAATTCTTGTAAATGATTTTATGCACCTGCTTGAGTCTTTTAATCTCACCCTGCACACCACCGGACCTACTCATAAATTAGGCCACACACATGATTTGGTCCTGTCCAGTGGTGGATATGGCCAGATTTTACTAGTGGAACCCTTGGGTATGGGTGGATACTGACGCGGACCCCACCCGCATCCCCACATTCGGAAAATGAAGATAATCATTAAAGATATAAACAAATGATGCTTTCTTGCATTGCACGATAACATAGGATATTCTTTGTTCAAATTAACTCTCCACTGCTCTACTCTGCATTCAGTCTCCTCAGTTGATTTTACGCATTACCATTACCATTTCCTGATCAGCTGTGAGGGTCATAAGGACAGAGGGATGTCGTATGCTGTAAAGCCTGTGAGGCAAATTGTGATTTGTGATATTGGGCTTTATAAATAAAATTGATTGATTGATTGATTGATTGATTGATTGAAAGCTACACTAAAAACAGGTTACCAAGATCTATTGATTATGTCTCCCTTATTTTATTAACTATTATTATATTGTAAAGGAGTCACTAAATGGACGAGTCGAAACAACTTCTCTCAGGCGGCTACACCAATGTGTGCCATTTATTTACACCAGCATTCAACTCATGAATACAGTGAACACGCACCAAAAAGGTACCAAGCTAAAACACTCCCCCAGGGCACATGGAAACAACAAACGTTCCTACTTGATTAAGGGGAGTCACATTGATGACACTGATGGCTCCGCTTCATACATCTCCTCAGTTCTCTCCTCTCTGTAAAAGACAAATGACAATGGGAAATAATAGTTAGGCTACCAAATAAACTCTTCATATATACTGCAATAATCATCATGAAATAAATGTAATTTACCTCTTAAAAGCAGAGGGCTGACACTGCACCCTTTCCACTGCTCTGCTCATTCAGTCTCCTCAGTTCTCTCCACTGCATTGTTCTCTCTTCACTGTAAAAGACAAATGACAGACAAATACAAAAAATAGTTAATATTAATGAATTATTTGTAGGCTACTGAGTGTATTTGTAGGCTTCATGTGTACTGTAATTCTGATATTAACGTGAAATAAATGTAATTTACCTTTCATTCCATCTCTAGTCAGTAACTGTAATGTACTAGTAACTTACCTACCAACTGTGAAACTATTCCTGTAATTATCTGCAGCATTCTCTATTCACTATATAATAGACCGTGCATACAGACATGAGTGAACAAGCTAGCTAGCTGGAAATAACATTAGGTAACATTAGCCAATCTAAAGCTTTCAATCCTCTATCAGCAGATACGTTAGTTCATCTCATGTAAAACCTTCACATAGAGTAGCTGGCTAAATATCTCTGACTAAATTAAACCAGCAAAGCTTGCTACTCTATCTCTGTAACGGCTAGCTAACACCTTGGCTGGTATATTGGATGTCATATCAGGCTGCAACCAAGGCTAGTGGTGTGTCTCAAATCTCATACTTCCGTTAGTATACTTCTATGTAGTTTACTGTGTGCACTATGTACTCATTGGCGTAGTGCGTGAATTTCGACAGGGTAGTGTTGTCTCAAGCCAAACACGACCGTTGTGCACTCACCAGAAACGATTAACCCAATAAATATACTGCTGGCTTATACCCAACAACAGTATAGTTAGGGTGACCATATTTTGATTTCCAAAAAAGAGGACACTCGGCCGGCCACGACATAGCCTACTTAAATGATACTCGCAGTTTACTCCAAGATGTCTTATAATTTTAATATATTTAAAGTTTATATGTATGGGTAGAAAATTCAGTTAAATTACAAAATAATATGTTATGATTTGGTTTAAAGCCTGGACTCAAAAGCACGACTCAGGAAACAGGTACACAGTGAATAACAAGTCTTTAATGTTCGAATGTGCAGAATAGTGCAAGGGGGAGGGGTGGAGCGTGGTCCCAGGATCCCGACATGTTCCGTGAAGGCACCGGTGAGGAGGAGATTGAGAGTGTCCGTGGTGTGGCGTCCGCCACGTGGTAATGGCGGCGGTGCTGCGGCACGGCGCAGTAGGTTCCGTCTTCTCGAGCGTACTCACTCCGAGGTGAAACACAGGAGAGCTGACGGCGGCAGGAAGGTCCACAGGCAGGCAGTGAAGTAGCACACACGAGATCACGAGGCAAGCACAGCAATCTGAGTTGAGGCGGAAGAAACACAGAGGCATTAGCTACACAAGCTAACAAAGCACGAGGGCAAAAACACAGAGGAGCCAGGATACAAACTACCACGCAGACTGATGAAACGATCTGGCGACGAGTAGGGAGGAATCCAGAGACTTTATGGAGAGGTTGATTACTGGAGTGGATTCACCTGGCACTGCCTGTGGAAGGAAGCCACGCCCACATGCACACACACACAGAACAGACAGGGGGAGAAACACAGGAGGAGTAATACAGACAGGGAATGACACACACACACACATGAGGGAGAGGGAGGGGCTGCCATGATGAGGATCATGACAAGATCACTGTACAATAGAAAACAACGTAATAAATAACAACAAGGAGAGACAACAACAATGGAACTGGAACTGCCAAAATTAAAAATAAATACATAAATAAAAAAATGAGTCAATAAATAAATTCATATGCCATTAAATTGCACCAAAAATGCATAAAACATAAATGTAGGCATTAATTAACTGATAAAATGCGTATTTTCTTTTTACATTGACATTCCCTCACACATTCTTGTACATTTACATTCCTACATTTCATTTCATT